ATTTTACTATCAAAATAATTAAAATTAAAAAAAATCTTGCAATTGCCCACAAAAATCCGATTGTATCTTGCAAAAAAAGTTTGAAATTTACCCTTTCAAATTTTCCAAAATTGGTTAGCCCAATTCCAAGCTACTATATTCAATAAAAATGCTAAATAAAATATTGCCATCTGATCAGTTTTCATTTAACCTGTTATTACTTCTGCGCCTACTCTTGTAATTTTCTAATTCCACTCCAAGTCAAATATAAATTTTTTTTTAAAAAAAAAATTTTTAAAAAAAAAAAGAAAAAAAAAAAAAATTTTTTTTTTAAAAAAAAAAAGAAAAAAGAAATTTTTTTTTAAAAAGAAAAAAGGAAAATTGGTCTAATTCATATTACAAATGAATGTATCCAAGGTTGCTTGATGTTTGAAAGCGACAAGTTTCAAATTTACTTCTTTTTTTAATTTCCCTAAATTTTGAATAAGAGAATCATCAACTTTAAAACTTCCATCTGGCTGCTCTTCAAGAAAAGTTAGGATTCCATGGATAAATCTTAAGGCTTCTACAGGTGATATTGGTTTTTGTGATTCTTTATCTGGTTCAATACATTCATGATTCTTGACGGCTTCAATGATTTCTTCATCAGTTGGCATTTCAGTGTTGATAAGGTTATTGTCAACAATTACGTATTCGTATGCATCCATTGGTTGGTCAAGAGGCAATCACGTAATCAAATCCTAAATCTCATCAATAATGTCAGGTTTATTAGATTGGTCAGGTTCATTGGCTTGGTCTGGTTCTTCATGTGGAAATAATTCACTAAGAAAACTCTCTGGCAAAATGCCAGTCTTTCTCCAACAGTTATGAATTGTTCCTAAAATTAGAGAATTATTTTAGCTAATTGAAAAAGTAATTGAATTAACTACTATATTTAGTCGATTAATTAGTCGACTAAATATAGTAGTTAACTAGACGGATTCTAATTCTTACTTGAGGTTACTTCTTTCCATGCAGCAGCTGTAAAATCAATTGCATCTTTGATAGTTATTTCTTCGGGGGGTTACCAAATTCCAAAAAAAATTCAAAAGCTTCTATACGGTCTGTGCAAAAAAATTTTTTATAATGTGCCTACATAGATAATTTAATAAAAATAAAAAATTAATAAAAACAAGACTTAAATAAAAAAATTTAAAAAAAAAAAAAAAACTTAAATAAAAAAAAAACTTAAAAAAAAAAATAAAAAAGTTTAAATAAAAAAAATCCAGGTAAATAAAAAAGCTTAAATTAGCTAACTTTAAAACTCCAAATTATTCCCGCATCACATAGTTGAAGATATGCTGTTGTACGTGAAGAAAAAAAATGCAATTTAATGTTTGTTGGGGTAATATGAGAAGAATTGAATAGCAAGCAAGTCGCATTTGGTTATCTAGATGCTTAATGTAATTGTTAAAAATTGATGTTTGCATCCAAGAGGAACTATTCCAGTAATAATACACGGGTAAGGTGGATTTATCAATATTTTTGAGAGCTCGAGGAGTTTTAAATTTATGTATAAACAGTAATATGGTCTTTGGCTTTTTTTTTCCTGCAACTGGGCCATCAGCTAACATTTTATCAGATTCCATACGCCAGTATAATGCAGTTTCATCAGCATTATAAACATCCTCAGGCTTGTATTTTTTGATTAGTTTTTGCAACTCACTGCAAAATCTGGGAAGATTCTCGAGAGGTGCACTTGCAGCTTCACCTAAATGTTTGTATTCCTTTATATGGTGCCTTTTTTTGAAATTTGAAAGCCACCCATCAGATGCATTAAAACCTGTCACTTCAAGCCCTTCCGTGAGTTGTGTTGCTTTACATTTAACTATTGCATCCGTAATTGTTTGCAACGCAGTATTTGCTCTTGATATCCAAAGTGCAAGTGCTTCTTCTACCAAAGGATATTTTCCAGCCCTTTGTCACTTTGAATAGGCATTGTTTGAGTTTAAATCAAGTGCTAACCACTTTTCTTTTTTATGAACAATACCTGAGATTGTAGCTTCGGCTACACCAAACTGTTTGGCTAGTCTAATTTGACTAACTCCTTTTTGCTTTAGGTGGCATATTTTGGCTTTCTGAATACCGGTCAGGCTTTTTCTTGTATCAGTTTTTTTTTTTTTACTATATTTTTGTTTCATTTTCATCGGCTCTTTAGAAGGTCCTTCCATTGTTGCCGTTACAAGTGATAAGAAACAAAAAAATAGGAAGGGAATGTTTTTAAAATAAGAAATAGCGCAACTTCATTTACCAAAATGAAAATGACTAAGATGTAAAAAAAAAAAAAATAAAGAGCCAATATTTTAATTGAAAAAAAAAAAAAAAATAAATCTTTTAAAAAAAAAAAAAAAAAAAAAAAATTTGCTTTTGCATAATTAAGTGCATTCGAATGATTTCATTTCATCTTTTTCTATTTTAATACCATT